TAAATTAAGACATAAATTCCTCCAATTTAAGACGTACTTCCTTTTTAAAAGCTATTGGCGTAAGTTTAACCCTATACTTGGCAACGACGGTTTTGGTTAATATTTGTGATTTACACTATAAATATTGGATTTATGACGACTAAAAATCATGTAAAAAATACGAAAAAAAATCTTAGGTATGTAGCTTTGGAAATATAGTATGTATCTTTAAGTGCACATTGCCAGCTTTGTAGTAAATTAAAACATGGTTTATTTGTTAGTAGAAATTAGTTATTTAAATGAAAATTACTACAAAACCTTAAGCTATTCACTATTTTATAAATAAAAAATAAATATCTTTTACAAAAAACTGAAAACAAAGTAAAAAAAACACTTCAAAGTCTGTAACGCCTTGCAAGTATAGCTGCATTTGGATGTATGACCACCACTCCATAAGCGTCGTTGGAGTACCTCCTGAAACTCAGACCCCTCTTACCATCCAGGAGAAGCAAATGCAGATAAAACACATGGGAATCTTGCAAGACCATTAAAGAAATACTAGGGGTATTGATGCCAACTGGTACCGAACTGTGTTCACGTCTTTGATTGAAGATAATTAGATGTCCAACTTACAGTGGAAACGCAAGATAGCGGAAAAGGATTTCTGGAACTCTCAGGGAAACTATGCAGCAGTCGAACTGGCTAAAATTCTTCAATCACCAGCTTTATAACCAGAAGCATGCAGCAGCCTGGACAGACTGATCGCTTTTTGGGGTAATTTGGGTTGGTTGGAGTAGGAAGAAAACCACCCAAGAGAATCAGGAGGCTAAGTGCGGCTTCTAATTCATCAGCTGAAGTGTCACCGCTACTGACTTTCGACCTGGTTCGAGATTTTGGAGCCATAAGCAGCATTTTGCGCGCCTGATTTTGTTGCTGCAGCACTAAGTTGTCCAAAACACAACGATTGTTTAGTAAATGAATTAAAACTCACATCATCATATTTTATTTTAGAGCTTTAAATATTAATAACTAATAACATATCCCTTTTTTATGCGATAAAATCTATGAAAAAGTAATAAAATAATGTCAACGAGAACCTGGCAATGTGTCTTTAAAGATACATTCAAAATTGAAAGTAAATTATTACGTATATGACGATGTGCATTTAGAGATACATTCGGACAATCCGCATCGTACAAGAATAATTATACAAGTTTTGGGATGAAAAAAAAGCACTATCATCAAGAAACATTTATTTACTATCCATATTACTAAAAATAATCACCAATATTCTTAAAAAAAAACACCGAAAATAATAAAAACTATCAGCAGGTGCGTAGACGCCTGTCAACGGTCTGACTTTTTGCATATTACTGTTAAATCCGTGCAGCATGTAGCGATTCTATACTGTGTAACACAATCTGTAGTATTTGGGCTAACGCTATATTAAAAAAACATTTGAAAATAGTTTTTGGTTTCTCCCCCAAATTTTTGTTTTGGTCAACGTATCTTTAAATGCACAATGCCAAGAAAAGGGTTAAACAAATCTATATCTGCAAAATATGTATTGTATGACTCCATAAGACGATGAAGTGGGGCCCGCTTTCCGGCATTAGTTCGACATGATCTGGGCATAAATAAACGATGTACATGAGTGTCACGGATACGTTGAGACCGGCTAGGGACGCGATAATGCAATTGATTAGTTAGTTCATTACAGTCAAGTTTATTTTGACAAATATTAAACAATACACCTTGGTCTAAAGAATGTCTCCTAGCCTCGAGCGACGCGAGTGAGAACTTCTGCAACAGTACTTCATAAGAGGACTTCGCATGAAAACATTTGTAATTAGTAGTTTTAAGGAATTTGCGTTGCACACGTTCTAACTGATCTACATATTTAGCGTAGAGAGGGTTCCAGATGACACTTGCATATTCCAACTGAGACCTGACCAGTGATTTATATAAAAGAAGATAGGTTGATGCCTTTTTAAAGTTACTGCTAGCTCTTACAACAAAGCCAAACATCTGGAATGCCTTACTCACAACAGTAGAAATATGAACATCAAAATGTAGCTTAGAATCGATAAGCAGGCCTAGATCCTTTATAATAGAAACATTTTCTAGGCCAGTGTAACACAATTGATAGTTAAAGTTGATGGTTGACCTTTTTTTTGTAAAGGTTATGGTTTTGCATTTAGCGAGACTTAGGTGCAGCTTATTACTAGCACAGTACGCAGACAGACGGTCCAAGTCCTCTTGAAGCTTTTCGCAGTCACGTATGGATTCAATTCTCCTATAAACCTTGAGGTCGTCAGCGTAGAGTACAAATTGAGAATTTCTGAAGCACATATCTATGTCATTTACAAACAAAACAAACAAAAATGGTCCTAGGATTGAGCCTTGAGCCACTCCAGACGTGACATTCAGCTGATTAGAGGAGTAACCATTTATTACCACTTTCTGAGTTCTATTCTCAATATATGACAGGAACCAGCGAAGCAGATTTCCACGTATTCCATTGTAAGCAATCTTTTGTAGTAAGATGCGGTGGTCCACCTTATCGAAAGCTTTACAGAAATCTGTGTAAACCGCATCTACTTGTGTTCTTTTGTCCATACTTTCAAACAAAAAGTTAGTATAAATCAAAAGGTTGCTTACAGTGGAGCGACCCTTCACAAAACCATGCTGCTGGGGGATGATAAGATTGTGAATTTGCGGATAAACAACATTATGAACCAGCTTTTCGAGTACCTTTGTTAGTGTCGATAGAAGAGAAATAGGGCGATAATTTGTGACGTCACATTTGTTACCACTTTTAAATATGGGTGTTATGTTTGCTGTTTTCCATAGCTGAGGTACGACTCCCTCCCTTAGACTTTTATTATAAAGTATAAAGAGGGGTTCACTTATGGACTCGGCTGTGAGTTTTAAGAAAAGTGGTGGAATGTTGTCAGGTCCCGTACTCTTTGTGACATCTAACGACTCAAGTGCGCTCGTGATAGTACTTTTCGTTATATGAATGTTGCAAATACTTACGTTATTTACAGACGATGACTGTAAGTCATTCAGATCCAAGTTATCAATGCTACCTGTTTCATACACTGATCCAAAAAAGTTTGAGAAATAGTCACATATTGTTACTGGGTCATCAGATTCGTTTTCATTAAATTTGATTAAATTAGGTATTCCAGCCTTCTGCCTACGGTTATTGATATATTTCCAGAATGTTTTCAGATCCCTTTGTATGTGGTGTTCTACTTTTCCTATATATTCATTAAAACATTTTTTACTTAGCTTCTTAAACCTACGTCTAAGAATGGTAAATTCATTATAATCAGCCAAGTTACCGTACTTTTTCCAATGTGTCCAAGCCCTATCTTTGTTTTTGAATATATGTTTTAGTGGATTTGAAAACCAAACAGGAAATTCATTACTTTTTACGGGTCTCATTTTATCGGGTCTTATTACGAAGTTGGAAGGTACGTTATCTTAGAGTAAAATTTAATCTAAATTGGATTTGTGCTTCAATATTTACTTAACGATTTTCTTTTTCAAGATCAATACTTAAACTGAAAATAATTGTTCATGTAAGTACCAAAGCAAAATCAAAAGTACCTACTTATGTAAGTAGTTTAATTGTTGCTGGGATTTTTTACTTAAACCTATAGTTTTAATAGTAGTAGATAGTGTCCAAGCTTACCTACTCTTTTTAGAGTATATGAAAGCTATCTAGGAAGTGAGATAATTACAAGGGTGCAAAGTGCATAAAATTAGGAAGCATAGTTTACAGGACTTATATGTCTAACATTTTCGTTGAAAATTCTTGTCTTTTTGACGTGCCATTCATCTTTTCGTTTCTTTCCGTTCGTTCATTCATTTTAGGCATAGCTGGGCACCGTTAATCAAATAGTTAACTTCGTTAATCGTTAAACCGTTAATAAAAAAATTAACTTCGTTAAACGTTAAAACGTTACATTTAGCAAGATTTAACGCAAGTTAACGTTAATCGTTAATCCGTTAACACATGATAATAAAACGAAAAAAAAATTTCGAAAGCTTGTATATCACGCATGGAGTTTATTCCTCTTTATGTTTGCATAAGTACAATTATTATTTTCGTTTTAGTACAACTGCATTTCAGAATAAAAGCTTGTTTTTAAAAAAGTTTTTCAATATTATAATTTTATTTTACACTTTTTATTATTAGTATCTCAGTCTTCTGAGATTCTGAGAAGGCTCTGGCCTTGGTTCAATTACAATACAATTTAGCACCAAAGTGCTCGAAAAGACAAATCCAACAAACACAAACTCGATAAAGTTCCACCGTTTCGTTTAGGAATTCCTATGGCCACCTCCTGACTCCATCATCAGGACCCTGGACATTATCTAGTACTAAAATGCTCGAAAAGACAAATCAACGAACCCAAATTCGATGTGATTCTGCAGTTTCATTTAGGAGTTACTATGGCCACCTCCTGACTCCACCATCAGACCAGCTCAATGGTACCATAACANATGTAGAACGAATGACTGACTTCTCTTCTTAACATTTCTTTTCCATCTTTCAGGCAACTTATTCTACGACATCGCTCTCCTCTTCCTAAACAAGCCCATGGACCCGGCGCCCAACATCGGCGTGGCTTGTCTCCCGCCTCCCAAACGACTGCAGACCGCTGGCACCAGGTGCTTCGCTTCGGGCTGGGGGAAAGACAAGTTCGGGAAGGCTGGGCGGTACCAGGTTATTCTGAAGAAGGTGAGTGAAAACTTTTTCTTTTGCGGTAAGCCTAGGCGCAGACCACCGACTTTTCCTCTGCCGATATTTTAGAAAGTCGGGTTGGGCTCTCAGTGCCCACAGACCGCCGATTTAAAGTCGGCCGATTGCTTCATTCGATAGATATTTCTTGAAGAGATCAGTCGCCTGAAATGTTTCCTAGAAATATTATTATTTCTTTACTTGACTAGTTCTTGGTCGCGGCTACGCCTGCGTGAAATTTAGTTTGCCGCAACAAAACTGACTAACATAGCACTCATCATTGTAATTTGGCCAATAAACTCAATATCCTTACAAATTATAGCCTATTAATAATATGTTTTGCCCATTGCCACTTCAGCTTGTTAATCCGTCGGGCTATGTCAGCGACTTTAGTTCTTTTGTTCTTTATAGCACGCTGTGCAACTTTGAGCTTCTGTATAAGGCCTATAGTGAGAGGCCATCTGTTATTGTCGCATAACCTAAAAATGACTAAATCTTAGTAAATATATTTATTATTCCCAGGTGGAACTCCCAGTAGTTAAGCACAGCACATGCCAAGGTCTCCTGCGGAAGACGCGTCTGGGCCGTTTGTTCGAACTGCACAGAAGCTTCATGTGCGCTGGTGGTGAAGCTGGTATTGATACGTGCAAGGGAGACGGAGGCTCGCCGCTCGTCTGTCCTATGGAGGTACGTCATCATTTTCTTTATCACAAACATCAGTAATATCACCAACTTCATCAAAGCTATCATCATTAACATCACCTACATAATCATCATCATCAGCCTCTTTCTCATCACTATCAACAGCAATAACTACATAATTGGTATCATCACTGTCATCATCAACTTCCCTATCAGTATGTATCACCTACGTCAACATCATCGTTATAAACATCATCACCTTCATCACCATCACCAAATTCATCATTATTATTATCAATTCATCATCATCACTACACCATCATCATCAATAACAACATATCCGCCATCATGATTGAGGTAAGTCATCATCATCATTCTCCTCTAAATCATCACCATCATCATCATCACCCCCGCTATAATCATCAGCCTCTTTCTCATCATCATCACCATGGTGCCAGAAATGAAAACAATACAAATTGAAATCATCATCAAAAACAACAAAATACCAAAATAACAACACTAATCATCATCACCAACATTTCATCAACTCATCATTATAATTTTTTCATGACTATCAGCATCAACACCAACATTATTCATACATAATACAACATATCCTCAACGTCGTCTTTCATTTCCATCAACCAATTTTTTATTTTGTAAATAGTTTTTATCATTAGTAATTTTAAAATTTTAGTTTTCAACAGCATTATACAGTGTGAGTCACGTTAAAGTGTACATATGAAAACAGATGAAACTAGACTTATTTTTATCGACAAAAAAGAGGTCAAAAAATTTTTGAGATTTTTTTTTATTTTTTATAGAATTTGTTTTCTTCCAATTACTTATTGTAAAGAAAACGTAATAACTTTTTAACTAATCAGTATATCCTGATAAAATAAAAACAGTAATAATGCTAAATAACAGGCGATACTAAAAAAATACATACAATACACAAAAAATGCCAACAAATAATAAAAACTGATACTTTTTGAAAAAAAATCTGCTTAAAAATTCGTGTTTTTTTGGTTATTTGATAAATTTCTCCAAAAAATGCCCCTATAACAGGTGGTTTTTATTGTTTTATATTATTCTCTATTGTATTACCTTTGTAAAACCAAAAATTGCATGTCTCTATCCCTATCACAACATTTGCTATGATCGTTTGAACTAAGCCTCTCCGGGCGCGCCATTCAACGCTTCGTTAACAACGAAACTGAAAATGACTCTAGATTTGTAATTTTGATAAAGACAAGTTAGATTTCAAGTGAAAACAAAAGATTTCGAAGTAAAATAAGCATTTTAGTTAAAATTAAAATTGTCTCTACCTGTAGCGGAGAATAATGTTGTGGCAGGCCTTTGTTCAAACGATCATAGCAAATGTTGTGATAGGGATAGAGACATGCGATTTTTGGTTTTACAAAGATAATACGATAGAGAATAATACACAACAATAAAAACCACCTGTTATAGGGGCATTTTTTGGAGAAATTTATCAAATAACCAAAAAAACACGAATTTTTAAGCAGATTTTTTTCAAAAAGTATCATTTTTTATTACTTGTTGGCATTTTTTGTGTATTGTATGTATTTTTTTAGTATCGCCTGTTATTTAGCATTATTACTGTTTTTATTTTATCAGGATATATCGCTTAGTTTAAAAGTTATTACGTTTTCTTTACAATAAGTAATTGGAAGAAAAAAAAATCTATAAAAAATTTAAAAAAAATCTCAAAAATTTTTTGACCTCTTTTTTGTCGATAAAAATAGATCTAGTTTCATCTATTTTCATATGTACACTTTAACGTGACTCACACTGTATAATATGTTCGTAAACTTTATTTTTTGAATGAAACCTGTCAAAATGTTTGAGAACATGCTTAAAGATTTTGGGTCAGTTAACTTATAAAATTCTTGCTACTGAAGTATAAACATGGTTATTTTAATTTAAAAATAGAAGTAAAAAAAACCTTCAAAAGTATCTCAACTGACTCGTGACAAGGGTTTAAATTTTTATTTAGTTTCACCTGTCCCATATTAATTGTCATCAAATCTTGCAAATTATTTTATTTACAAAAAGGAAGCAAAAAAGCTCTAAAAAGTATCTCAATTGACTAATCACTAGAGGTATACAGTCCCCTATTTCGCCGCTTCACAGACAAGCAGAGTGGCGCAGTGGAAGCGTGCTGGGCCCATAACCCAGAGGTCCGTAGATCGAAACTACGCTCTGCTAAGAACCTAGAATTCTAGGTCTTTTTTTCGCGTTATTTTATTTTTATTTTTTTTTAGTTTTTTTAAGAAGATTTTTTTTAGTAATTTTATTAAAATCTCATATAACATCAACGCGTCAAGAAAATTGGGTTACGAAATACATTTTTTCACGAGGTCCCTGTAATTTGTATTTACAAATTGCTAATAAATAAATAATATTTTTTTCACACCCTCTTTTTTGTTTACACCATTTAGTTCTAGGTTGACTCTTTTAGAACTACATCGCTGCTTTGTGAGGTTTCTTTTTTTTTGTTAATAATTTTTTTTTACTAAAAAAAATATTCGGAAAAATAAAAAACAGTTGCCGTTATCTATTCATCCCTGAAAATGGGTTTTTAGAACTGATCTTAAGATCTAGATTTAGACAAAAATCTAAATTAATAAAAACTATTTTGGTGAGCCCACTGGTTAAACAATCATCAATCGGCTTATTATGAGGGGTTAACGGTTTTTTGGTTTAAAATTTTTTAAAAAATACTAAGAGCGGTAGAAAAAGAATGTACTGATGAAACAGTTTATTTTTAAAGATTTTTTCGATATTTAACAGTTTTTTATTTATTTATTTAAATGAACAGATGATGTTTTACAACAAACGCAAACCTAACTAAACATTTAACTACTGATGTTCAAGTTAAAGTTCCCGAGGTAGGCCCACAGATTACGATATTTTTTATTGATTTCTCTCAAAGTTGATTGACAAAAACTTTTTTAAAACAATAAAAAAGAGACCAAAAATCATGTTGCATAGTTTCCAAAGTTAAGACCCACAAATTACACTATTTTACTTCTCCCAAAGTTTTTGATTGTACAATATTTTTTTTAACAATAAATAAAAACAAAAATTAAAACAAAAGCGTTGTTCAAGAAATGATTACTATTTATAGCAGAGCGTAGTTTCGCTCTACGGACCTCTGGGTTATGGGCCCAGCACGCTTCCACTGCGCCACTCTGCTTGTGTGTGAAGTGGCGAAATTAGAGTATAGCATGTGACTTCAAACGTCTTTGAATTTTTAACGAGTATAGATTATAGTGATGTGTTAGTGCCAGTAGTGATTTGTTGTCGATGAAAAAATATATTTTGCACTAATTATGGATGTCGTTAATTGTTCGTCCATCATCATCATCTCAGCCATAGGACGTCCACTGCTGAACATAGGCCTCCCCTAATGCTTTCCACATTGATCGATTGGTAGCGGCCTGCGTCCAGCGCTTCCCTGCTACCTTCACGATGTCGTCGGTCCACCTTGTAGGTGGACGTCCCACGCTGCGCCTTCCGGTACGCGGCCTCCATTCCAGAACCTTGCTGCCCCATCGGCCGTCAGTTCTGCGCACTATGTGCCCTGCCCATTGCCACTTCAGCTTGCTAATCCGTCGGGCTATGTCAGCGACTTTAGTTCGTTTACGGATTTCCTCATTTCTGATTCGATCTCGCAAAGAAACACCAAGCATAGCCCTCTCCATAGCACGCTGTGCAACTTTGAGCTTCTGTATAAGGCCTATAGTGAGAGGCCACGTTTCCGAGCCATAAGTTTTTTAATTGTTCGTCCAATGATTAAGAAATGACTGTATTTTCTTCTAAAATAGTTTTCTGTGCGAATTCAAATTCTTTATCGTCATGTGCAATCTTATGGGGGATGCGAATTGCAGCATGTTGCCTGGACGGCTGCTATGACTACTTAAGTATAGGTCTTAAGCACGCTTAAATCAATCCGGAAAGGGATCAACACCGTATCCATTGTCGTATCTAAGGTTGGTGTGGTTGAAGCTTTAGTTAGACACATACTTATTGTTCTTTCTTTCGCAGTTCGAGACCGACCGCTACGTGCAAGCCGGCATGGTTGCTTGGGGCATCGGCTGCGGCGAGAACGGCACCCCCGGCGTTTATGTCGACGTGTCTGTCCTGCGCGACTGGATCGACGACAAGATGGCCGGCAAGGGATACGGCGATGAGATGACTTACGCTAGATACTAAGCTCCAAAGATAAGCCTTGATCACACGTACCGAGTAAACGGGCGAGACAGTAAAATGTTTGCTCGGTCGAGACAGTTGGGTTAGCGAGTCACATACTCGAGCGCTCGGCCGAGCACTCGGCGTAATGTTCATACACACCGAGTACTCGGCCGATAGCACTGTCTCGCCCGTTTGCTCGGTACGTGTGATCAAGGCAATAAAGTCAAGTTTTGTGGTGTATTATGGTCTTTGTTACAGTTTTGTTTTTCACAGCTCATGCTAGAACTCAAGGTTTAGAAGGAAATGACTCTATGATATGATATTAAGTTAGGCTCCAAAGACAAAGTTTTGTGGTCTTTAAAGGACGCACACTTATCAACACGGAAACGGATCGTAACCGTATCAACTCGAGGTGGACGGTATTCTTTGTATGAAATTCCGTTCTGCAACGTTTACTTATCCGCACCGTAACGTAAACGACTCGCCTCGCGGTTGACAGCGCGCAAAAGGCGATACGGTGTTGATCCCTTTCCGGGTTGATATGTGTGCTATGACCTTAACATGGCCTTACCGTTCACAGTTCTCGAGTATCCTCAGTCAAACAGGATTTGATGAAAAAATGATTTAAATTTAGATTTATAGACACGAATGTTCTTAGTTTTATAATTCACACTTAATGTAAATAATAATAATATAGAATTTTTATACATTATAATTGTAATATTGTTACATAATAATATCAAGTGACTCAAAAACGACTGTATTTTTTATAATTTTGTACTTACATTGCCTTAATAAAGACCGTTTTTAAAATTATGTGTTTTTAATTCCATACTAATTCAGTTTAGATTAATTTAGCACCTGTGGCATCAATAAAATGCTATAGTACTTAGTACAATATTTATTTTATATCAATAAATATTTTTCAGTTTCTAATTCATGTTCAGTGACACCCTTTAGGCACACTGTGTTAAACAATAATTGCTTTTCGATTGCTTAAAATGATTAGCCAAGCCGCAGATCACCGATTTTTAGTTGGCCGATAGTTAAGCCCGATTCTAAATTGTATGAAGAATCGGCCGATACCAAATCGGTGTAATGTGCGCACTTTCATACATGCCCATTGCCCATACTGATTAACAGAGCCCGACCCAACTATCGGCCAACTAAAAGTCGATGGTCTGCACCTAGGCTTAAAGTTCAGAATTTGGTGGCATAACTATGTACTCGTATACACGGTGTCCTATTAAGACCGTGCCAAAAATAAGGAGAAAATATACCTACTTACTAAAAGATGACCATCTAGACAAAAAAAGGGGAACTTAAAAACAGTTTCAGAGATATGACTCTTTTTAATTTTTTTGACACGATGTATGTATGTATATTCAGTGCCATATAGTAATATATTATTGAATCACAACTTCATAAATGGCAATATTTCATATTAATTTTGAGTTTTTATATTAAAATTCTGCATTTGTCACTGCAAACCAGTTAGTGAGATAACTCGTTTTTGTACGGATAAAGATAAACACTGTGGTACCTAGGGATGTTATGGATAGGTATGTAGTTTCAGTTATGGATACGGTTACGGATATAATATTAATAATAATTATACCGGTTACGGTTACGGATATTTTTTTATTTCGTATACCTACCTGAAAGTTTCTGTTACGGTTTCGGATATCCNAAACAATAAATAAAAACAAAAATTAAAACAAAAGCGTTGTTCAAGAAATGATTACTATTTATAGCAGAGCGTAGTTTCGCTCTACGGACCTCTGGGTTATGGGCCCAGCACGCTTCCACTGCGCCACTCTGCTTGTGTGTGAAGCGGCGAAATTATAGTATAGGATGTGACTTCAAACGTCTTTGAGTTTTTAACGAGTATAGATTATAGTGATGTGTTAGTGCCAGTAATGATATATTGTCTATGAAAAATTATATTATGCACTAATTATGGATGTCGTTAAATGTTCATCCAATGATTAAGAAATGACTGTATTTTCTTCTAAAATAGTTTTCTGTGCGAATTCAAATTTTTTATTGTCATGTGCAATTTTATGGGGGATGCGAATCGCAGCATTCTGCCTGGACGCAGTGGCGGGGCAAGACCTAAATTTGATGTGGGCAAGACAGATTTCGCGAGGCCTTGTTCTGTGGCGACCTGAAGACGGATTTTATAAAAAAAAAAAAACGGGTCCACGGTCTATTCATTGACAGTTTCTGATTTCTTGATTCAGTGATTATTTTTAAAGGAATATTGCGCCAAAGAATAATGTTCGTCACTTAAAACCGTGTTGTTGCTTAAATTTGTGTCTGATTATGGCTGAATTTGTTTGGAAAAGAATATATTTTTTTAACTACATTGTTTAGCTATCAAGAATTTATATTTAATAGTCAATGTTTGCATTTATAGTCGTATTGTGATATTGTCATCTTCACCTTGATACATTTTTTCAAATTTTTTGATGCGCGAGGCCCCTTGTTCCGCGAGGCCGTAGGCGGTGGCCCACGTCGCCTACGCCTTACGCCGCCACTGCCTGGACGGCTGCTATGACTACTTCAGTATAGAGGTCTTATGCCCGTTTTCACCATCAATCTCCAATTTTTAAGTGACCCTTAGGAAAACAAAATTCCTGATAGGTATAGTTACCATAGGGGTCACTTAAAAATTAGGGTTTAATGGTGAAAACGGGCATTAAGCACTCTTATCAATCCGGAAAGGGTTCAACTCCGTATATCGCCTTTGACCACGAGGCGTGACGTTTAAATTACGGTGCGGATAAGTGTGCGTTACAGTACGCCTTGAGTTCATACGACTACGATCCGTTTTCGGGTTGATAAGTGTGCTTCGTCCTTCAATTAAGTATGTTGACTTGCCAGCCAACTTTTGCGTCTTTTTTTGACGTGTTACACCCAGAAGTGTTTGTAATGCTTCAACCACACCGATGCGTGCAGGTCGCCATCACGGCGCGATCAAAGGCCAATAACAGAGGGCCTAGTGTGAGTTCAAAAAATGACATTAAAAGACAATGCCGGAAATTGTCGTCTTTTTTTTTTCGCGCGGCCATCGACCAAACTTTGTTTTTTGATTACAATATAGTGTAATAAACCAAACTTACTATGGCATGTATACCTCTAAACTTAGTCAGAACTGAGTTACGAGCATTAGAAGTTTGATGATTTTACATACTAGATTTGCTTTTTGCGCGTAAGTTTTGTAAGAAATTGCAACAAAATAGTGACAACGTGTAAACTTGTAAACAAACAATACCATCCACTATAGGCTCCAGCAACAGCGTGGAGCAGAATCAGCGCAATAAAAAAAGACACACTCAGCCCTCTGTTATTGACACACGACCTGTCATTCGCCTTCAATCGCGCCGGCGATGGCGACCTGCACGCATTGGTGTGGTTGAAGCTTTATTAAACACGTCATACTTATTGTTCTTTCTTTCGCAGTTCGAGACCGACCGCTACGTGCAAGCCGGCATGGTTGCTTGGGGCATCGGCTGCGGCGAGAACGGCACCCCCGGCGTTTATGTTGATGTGTCCGTCCTGCGCGACTGGATCGACGACAAGATGGCCGGCAAGGGATACGGCGATGAGATGACTTACGCTAGATACTAAGCTCCAAAGATAAGCCTTGATCACACGTACCGAGTAAACGGGCGAGACAGTAAAATGTTTGCTCGGTCGAGACAGTTGGGCGAGCGAGTCACATATTCGAGCGCTCGGCCGAGCACTCGGCGTAATGTTCATTCACACCGAGTACTCGGCCGAGAGCACTGTCTCGCCCGTTTGCTCGGTGCGTGTGATTAAGGCGATAAAGTCAAGTTTTGTGGTGTATTGTGGTCTTTGTTACAGTTTTGTTTTTCACAGCTCATGCTAGAACTCAAGGTTTAGAAGGAAATGACTCTATGATATGATATTAATTATTAAGTCAGGCTCCAAAGACAAAGTTTTGTGGTCTTTAAAGGACGCACACCTATCAACACGGAAACGGATCGTAACCGTATCAACTCGAGGTGAACAGCATTATTAGTATGAAATTCCGTTCTGCAACGTTTACTTATCCGCATCGTAACGTAAACGACTCGCCTCGCGGTTGACAGCGCGCAAAAGGCGATACGGTGTTGATCCCTTTCCGGGTTGATATGTGTGCTATGACCTTAATATGGCCTTACCGTTCACAGTTCTCGAGTATCCTCAGTCAAACAGGATTTGATGAAAAAATGATTCAAATGTAGATTTATAGACATGAATGTTCTTAGTTTTATAATTCACACTCAATGTAAATAATAATAATATAGAATTTTTATACATTATAATTGTAATATTGTTACATTATAATATCAAGTGACTCACAACCGACTGTATTTTTTATAATTTTGTACTTACATTGCCTTAATAAAGACCGTTTTTAAAATAATGTGTTTTTAATTCCATACTAATTCAGTTTAGACTTATTTAGAACCCGTGGCGTCAATAAAATGCTATAGTATATTTTTATTTTATAGCAATAAATATTTTTCTGTTTCTAATAATCATGTTCAGTGCAACCCTTTATAGGGCACACTGTGTTAAACAATGATTGCTTTTCGACCTGATGATAAATGATGCCTAGGCGCAGATCACCGACTTTTAGTTGGCCGATAGTTAAGCCCGATTCTAATTTGTATGAAGAATCGGCCGATACCAAATCGGTGTAATGTGCGCACTTTCTTACATGCCCATACTGATTAACAGCCCGACCCAACTATCGCCCAACTAAAAGTCGATGATCTGCGCATAGGCTTGAAGTTCAAAACTTGGTGGTATATGTATACACGGTGTCCTATTATGACCGTGCCAAAATTAAGGAGAAAAAAAAAAGAATTAACATCTAGACAAAAAAAAAACTTAAAAACAGTTTAGACTCTTTTTCATATCTTTGACACCATGTATGTAGTCAGTGCCATATAAAGTCATTATTATTCAATCGCTACTTCATAATATAGCAATATTTCATTAATTTCGAGTTTTTATATTAAAATTCTGCATTTGTCACTGCAAACCAGTTAGGTAGTGAGATAACTCGTTTTTGTACGGACAAAGATAAACACTGTGGTACCTAAGGATGTTATGGATAGGTATGTAGTTTCAGTTATGGATACGGTTACGGATATAATATTAATAATATTATACCGGTTACGGTTACGGATATTTTTTTATTTCGTATAGGTACCTACCTGAAAGTTTCTGTTACGGTTTAGGATATCCATAACATCCCTGGTGGTACCTTATCTCCTGGTAATAGGGGCGATTTTTACACTAGAAATGAACAGCTGATGTGCTATCGACTGAACCAAAAACAAGAACTAAAACGTCGATATAATTATCGAATAACAAGGAAAATCTACACTAATATTATAAAGAGGAAAACTTTGTTTGTTTGTTTGGTTAGTTGTAATGAATAGGTTTAAAAACTACTGGACCGATTTTAAAAAAAATTTCACTATTCAAAAGCTACATTATCCACGAGTAACATAGGCTAAATTTTATTTTGGAAAAAAAATAGGGTTCCGTAAAATATGTAGATAATGTAGTCCACGCGCGCGAAGCCGCGGCCGCAAAGATAGTTTAATAATATTATGACGAGAAGCTAGTTCCGTATGACGCATCCATCTTAAAAT